ACACCTAACTTTTTAATCTTGTAAACCTAAAGGCTGCAGCAATCTACTGGGCCAGCAGGTCTCACAGGTTACTTGTGCAATATGTAAACAAAATTACTACGTTACTTTCAACTTGATTTTTTTGTTTCCTCCAGTAGCCTCTTGTTCTCTTTTTCAGCAGAGCAGCACTCACATGCAATGCTATTACCCTTTGAAGTCTATCTGTTTGTACCCTTATTAATCCTTTCCTGAGCTACAATAATGCCAGGACGCTCAGTCTCTTTCACTGAGGCAATCCTGCAGAGTGAGGCAGCTGAAGTTGCTGGATCTGGAATAACCTATTTCCACTGTATTATTTCAGTAGATGACGGAGATCAGTGTGCCCCAAGCATGGTGTCCTCAAAGACACACAGCCATTCTCATTCCAGTCCTGTTCACCTGAAGTATTCTGTAGGCTTCCTCTTCTGCCATCACTGACAAAGGAGGTTCAACACTGCCTACTGATGGCCAAGTCTCTTCCTCATGTCATCACAGTTCCTTCATTACCTCCAAACAGATCCAGAGCTTCTTTTTAGACATAGGAGGTTATTAAGAGACTATCTGCTCTTCTCAGATATTAACTGTCCCAATCCCTATGAAATATTGTGCTATTAACAGCTTTAGGGCTCTTTTCTGGTCAAGGTGCAAATACAGTCTCCTGAAACAAACAGCGTTAGAATCTCTTCTCTAAAACAGCTCATGGACTAGATTAAAACATTAGAGGGGAAACAAGAGAAAGGCCTGAAGTCACACAGCAACTCAATCAGAGAGATTCACGTGAGACCAGCTGCCTCCGGTTCCAGTTCAATACCCTCTTCTGTATTCTGTTTACTATAAATCTAGAGCTCATTCTGGTCTATTCACACCTTCCCACCCTCACTACCAGTTTGGATAGTCTTGCTCACAGATGGGTACATTTTAGCACCAGCTGCACACAGCACTGATGAATCTCAGTATGGAACCACTAATTTGGAAAGCCTCTAATGTGACCCAAAAAACCAGAGAACTTACCATGCCGAGCATCCCAAAGGGTGAAACAGCTCCTGCCTGCCAGGACAACAGAAAAACAGAACAGAGAATGACTTTGAAACAGCCAAACAACAGATTTTCCTCAGAACACCCTCATCCTTCTCAGAAACACAACTAGAAACGATCATGTCCAACAAACAGATCAAGGAAGTGCCCCACAGACTCACAGCAGTTCAAACCGTACCATCTCTTAACAAACGAGACAGAAGGCTCCTAAAATAATATAAGTAAAAGATATTTATGTCCCAGAGAAACAACTTCTTCCCCTTCTCCCGTTCAATCTAGAATGCACCTGTGTTTAATACATTAAACGTGGAGTAAAAAAAAGAAGAGCACCACAGTTTTAGAGAGATCAGTTCTGTGCCCACCATCCATACGAAGGCAAGGGGTGCGCCCAACCCAGTAAGGGTGAAAGACAGAAGTTAACAAGGCAGTTTAACAAATCCTGTCCTGTGCTCAGCACTTCTTTTACCTGCATCCTCCGACCAGGCTGGCGAGCCCCAGGGGTGGTGCCATCAGTGATGCCAAGGAGTGGGCCAAAGCCGAAGCTTCCCGAGAGCATGCGGTTCATGTGCTGCCGGTGGATGGCAAAAGGGTCCCTTTCAGAGAGGTGGAGAGAACAATGGTGAGGAAGGGATGACAGAAGACAAAGCCCCACATTATGGAAGCGTACATTCCTTTCCAAGCTGACGATCCAGAACCCCAGGAACTCAGTGTTGCTTATGGTGATCCTTAGTGCTGGAAGGGACTTCTGGATCCCATTTATTTCTTGAAATAGAAGATACTGCACCACAGAATCCCTCTCGGGCACTAACTAATGTCTGTTCAGAGTAGTTTGGCGTTTTGCTCCCACTAACACTTTAGGGCCAAGTACGGCCGAGGCCATCCCAGAACCTCATTGCTCTAACAAATGAAAGTCACTTCTCAGACCTGCACGTACCACCATAGTTTCACATGGATTTCCTCTTGTGCCATCAAACCCCTTTACATTAACAGATTTGTCACACAACCAAACCCTGCAGTTCTTCATTTTGCAGGGAGGTGCACAAAGACCCTCTTGGTTGCAAAGAGACGACTACACTGACTGGACCAGAGAGTATGTGACCCTAGATACTGCCCTCTTACCCTTCCACATACATGCAAACAAACATGCTCAAGTACAAGACTGAAACCTCGAGAAGGGGCTGTATGGCCTGACACTGTGTAACCTCCTTCTGTCCCAGGTAACCTTTACCTGCTATTTTCCTACAATGTTATGTGTATACCTGGCAAGACATTGAGACCATGTACAGGTTTTGCACATTTGAGAGGGAATGGGAAAAATAACTGGGGTCCCTAACTGGTTTTGTTTCCTTTGCAGCCTTCACTTTGAAGGCTGTATATATTGACATGCTGGAAGGTCAAGGAGAGAAAAAGGAGAATAAGGACAAATGGTCACAGAATACAGTGGCCACAGTTTGGGAAATACCATAGCATTTCCATGTGGATCTTACAGCCTGCACTCATCCCTCTTGAGTGCAAGTAACCTCAGCAGCATAGAATACTCCTGAGATCACAAAAGTGCCTACTACAAACCACTACTTTTCTGCCTGTACTGGAAATGCTTTCCATAATAAAAGTCAGACTCATTCCTGCCACATCAATGAGAATACACAGTCATTCTGTGACTAACTGGGGCATCAAGGTTTCCTTTCCTGCTAACGTGCTTACAGCTGATAAAATTCTTGCTTATTACCAATTTTACAAGCAAAACTCAGACTTTGTTTTTCTACATATATTAATTCCACTACATTTCTAGTAGTGCAGTGCTTAACATAATCAAATTCTTACTGTGTTACAGCCTATTCCTTATCCGCTTTGGCAAAGACTGCCAACTTAGTTTCACTGCCAAAATTTATCAATAGCATCCAATTTCTGGACTGCGGACAGCAACAAAAACAGCCAGTAAAAGGAATCCCAGGAAGCGTTCTTGGGACCTTCATTAGATTTGAAGCCTCGTACTTCAAACTGCTGGCTGTCTTCTCTTAACTTAGTTCCTTACAACTTGACAACTGCTTTAGCATTCTTCTCCAGATCCATTAATGACGGAGCAGAACAGCAACAAACACCGGATGGAACAGCAGATTTTATTATCTACCTGAACTGAAATCCTACTTGGCGTAAGAAAGCACAATAATCCTTCCACTAAGAAGAGGATCAGGTATTCCAGCCCTCTCTCCCTCAGACAGTTGCAGTGCCTTTTGGCCTACTTTATTTAATCACGCCTTCCTCCCAGACCATGCTCTAGTATTACAGAAACCAGATCAAGACGAACCAGGTTATTCCCTGCGCTGCCCCTTTCGCAGGGGTCATGCGTGTTTGTTTCCCTGCAGCCATCCCACAGCTGCTGCGCTGCGGCATTCCAGCCGCCCGGAAGGCCCTGTGCCCACCTCTCGGACGGGAGGGTAGCACACCTGCACCCCCATCCCCCAACACCCCGGGGCCGCAGCCTCCTTCCCCCCACCCCAGCGGGTGCCCAGTTCGACTCACATGGCAAACATGGGGTCCTCCGGCTCGCCATCCCTCATCAGCCTGAACATGCTTCCCTCGATCGGAGGCGGCCTCTGCGGAGGGGAGAGAGGGTGAACACAACCGAGGTGGAGGGCGGGGATGGGAGGAGCACCGGAGCCGGCCCTCCCGCGCAACGCCTCCTCTTCCCCCCGGGCCGGGCAGGTGATGGCAGAGCTACCCCCGCCGCGCCGTAGGCCGCGACCCTCCCGGCACCGGGCCCAGGCCCCGCCCCCAGCCCCGTCCCCGTGCCCTGCCTGCGGGCGCGCCGGTGGGTGCCGAGCTGCGGGCACAGCCCGTCCGCGGCAGCAGGACGCCCGCAGGCCGATCACTCCTCCGCGCCCATCGCGGCCCGGGCCCGCACTCGCCGCTGCCGCGCCGCCCCGCCCGGCCAGCCGGCTCCCAGCACGCATGCGCCACAGGCCCGGCGGCGGCGACGCAATCACCAGAGAGAGAAGGGGGATGGGGCCGGAAGGGCTGCTCTGTAGAGCGCCCCCTAGCGCCCGGCGCGGCCCGCGGTCCGCCGCCCCTCCGCTCCGGGCCCGGCCCTGGCCCTGGCCCTGCGGGGCTCAGCGGGCGCAGGCCGGGCGGCGGCTCCCTCAGCACGCCTCACCGTCGGGGAGGTGCCGGTAGCGCCAGCCGGCCCGGCAGTGCCTGGTGGGTCCGGGAGCGAGCTGCAGCTGGCAGCGAGTGAAAACATGCCCCAGTGACAAGGGGCTATTGTTCCTCGAGCAAAGGCGGTGGTGGACGGGCACCGGGGGTGTTTGCCAACCTCCCACCTCGATAAGAGGAGGGCGGCCGAATGGGCGAGGAGAGTGCTTGGAGGGCTGGAACGAGAGGGAGCGGGGCCATGGGTGCCTCTGCCATGCTCACGAGCCAGGGGGACACCACAGAGGACGTGGCGGTGCTGCCAGCACTGTGGCTGTGGTAAACTGGCAGTGGGTTGTCACTGCCCCCGAGTAGCCGCCAGAGCCACAGACAAAGCACAGGGACTCAGTGTGTGCTCAGGAAGTCGCCATGCACCAGTGGGCTGACAGTCTCTGTCACCATTCCTGGGGAATGATGGTTGCCTTCAGCTACCACCGGCTCCACTGGATTGGAAGGAAGAGAGTGGGCTGGCTTGTGGCTTCTTGAGACCAGAGCACACTTCCCTAAGTGGGGTTGAGTGCTGAATCTGCCCTGATGTGTGCAGGGGCCAGGCTAAACCCGTGCCAGAGGCTGCGGAACATGGTTGAGAAATCAAACTCCTGAGTTGTGGCAGAAGCCACGTCCTTGGATTTCGGAGTCTGACAGAGGAACGTGACCTGGTAGCACATACCATGTGGTGGAACACACAGGGGACTTCTTACTACAGCAGATCTCAGAACTGCTTAGCGTCCAGGAAGATCTCCCACTGGAGGCCTATGTGCATGCGTAAGACCCTTCAGATGTCCCTCACTGCATTTAGTAAGTGCATCCTTCAGAGGCTGCAACTGACATCCACAACATGGAAGCTGTGGATGGCACAGTGGGGCAGGATCATGTGGGTGAGACAGATGCTATGTGCAGGGCATGGGCTGTGCCACCTCAGACCTCTTGGGCAGTGCTCCTTGGGAAGACTGTCCATAGGTGAGGTGCCAAGCTCCCCTGTCACCAGGTCAGAACTGGTAAGTGAGCCCTGAAGGTCACACAGAGTTCTTCCTCGATCTCTCTGCACTGTTTTGCAACCTGGAACATCTTTCAGAGACCTCCAGTCTGGAAAGCCCTCCCCGGCTGGGGTGTTTTCCTTTTGCTCTGAGGCTCTCCTGGTGTTTGCTTACAGTGTGTGGAGCTGACCTCGAGTGGCAGCATTCAGAGAAAGGCAAAGAGTTGCTTGAACAAGAATGTAAGCATCTTTTTTTTTTTTTTGGGGGGGGGGAGGGGGGGGGGAGGAAGGTGTGTCCCAGATCTGGGATAAAATGACTTGCTGTCACCCAGGTATCAGTGATCCTTCCACTCCTGGAATGTCCTGGAGATGATAGGACTTCCTCAGTTTTTTCCAAATACCAAGTCAGGCATTGCTGCCTTCCAAACAGAGAGCTAGGGGAGGAACAGAACAGTGTGGAAAAAGTACTGCTTTGAAGATGCTTTTTCTGTCCCTCATGCTGCTCCTGTGTGAGTGACCTGTGGCACAAAGAGATGACTTTATCAGACTGCGGGCTGAGGCTGTGTGTCTCATTAAATGTTTCTGCAGCCATTACTCTTGATGAACCTGTCTCACCAAAGACTGTGCTAACAGTAGTGTCACCAGTTCAGCAAATTGTGAAGGCACTTCACTTTCAAAGAGTTGTGCTGGTGGCAAATGTTGGGTGAAAGCCTGGAAGGAGGAGTTGGAAGTGCAATCTTTCTCTGGAACAGGGACAAGCCCACAGTTCTGAGGAACACTGAAGCTGTGCCACTGTGCTGTTTGCACATTTCTCTACAGTAGTCACCACATTACGCCTAATGTTCACTGAGGGGATGGCCATTTGCTAGGTGAGAATAACAAAGCATGCCGGGGGGGTGGGGGGGTGTGGTGTGTGAATGAAAAACAAAAACTCTCATCTTGCCCCTGTCATATTCTCTATTTAGGCTGCTTCTGTTTTCATCATGAATAAAAGCCATTAACTACGTCTCTCTGTTCCCTTTCAAGCTGCTCAGGTTGTGCTGAAGCCGTGGAGGATGGGGGGAAGGGGAGTAAGAAGGAGCTCAGCATCCCGGAGGAGGCGAGTGAAGGGCAAAATGGAAGAGGGATGAATGGCGCCGCTGCCCTCAACTCCACCTTCTCCCGCCTACCGCTGGCTTCTGCCAGGCAGCCTCCCCCAGCATCCCCCTCGCCCTCAGTCAGCCAAAGGGCAGCCACAGCGGAAGCATTTTAAAAGCAAACCAAGTATCACATGGTGAAGGTAAATAAACAGCACGCTGAAAAATCGTGCTATGTTACCTGCTGCTTCCAGGGACCCATCATTTTGGCCAGGAAGACACAGCTTCTTAATGCATCCAAATGCTCCAGGGCCCCTGTGGACGCCTGTAAGACAAAGAAATCCTAATTATCAGAAGTCAGAGCTACCCACAGCCATTTCCTCATTGGTTCCCTTCATCTGTGCCTCTTACGTAATCTCCACCCAACAACTAACTCTGACCTCAGCTGAAGGGCACCCGAGTGAAGGACAGCTCCGATCTGAGCCTCACACATGACAGTTCACATCTGGGATGCCAGGGCCAGCGTGCTGTGCCTGCAGCTTGTCCTGTGCGGCAGCAGTTGCTTTCAGAATGTACTGCTCATGTTAAGCATATCTGCCACACTGTGAGTGAGAACCACGACCTCCGTCTGTGCTGTGTTAGCAAAGAGAGGCTCACAGAAATCACGACTGAAAACCTCCCTCCCCTTCCCAGTCTTCCAACAGGCTGGTGTCACCCCTCATCACTCCCATCTACTCTTCTTGCCTGCTCTCATTGTGTTACCTACCACAGCCCGCTGCAGTGCTTATTTCAATGTGTTGTCTCTCAGGAAGCCATCTCCCAGGGCAAAGTTGGTCAGTGGTTGAATTCTTGGGTATTTCCTCTTGATTTAAGGATACAGCATCATGAAAGAACAACGAAACTGATTATCTGCCTGGATTTTTAACAGAGACAGGACAGAAAGGTGAACAGTGTGGACTGAATCATAGAATCATAGAACGGTTTGGGTTGGAAAGGACCTTAAGATCACCCAGTTCCAACCCCCTGCCATGGGCAGGGACACCTCACACTAAGCCCTGTCATCCAAGACTCTGTCCAGACTGGCCTTGAAGACTGTCAGGGATGGGGCAGCCACAGCTTCTCTGAGCAACCTGTTCCAGCACGACAGCACCCTCATAGGGAAGAACTTCTTCCTTATATCTAACCTGAACTTCTCCTGTTTCAGTTTGAACCCATCATCCTTGTCCTATCACTACAGTCCTTGATGAAGAGTCCCTCTCCAGCATCCAGCAATAAATACATAAATGCATCCAAACACATTCCCTCTGCACACTGAGATTTTGCTAGCTTCACTGTAAATGAAAGGATAGATACTGTGTATATGTGAATTTATGTAAATCTAAGAAAAGTTAATGCAAATACACAACCTTCTGCTCTTTTGTTGTTCAGCAGTTTGAAGGAGTTTCGGAACCACACTCATGAGTTAGTTCACAAAACAAAATTCTTGAAGTAGCCAGTACTGTGATTTGCTTTTGCTCAGAAAAATGGCTCGTTTAGTTCAGCCTTCAACAGCAAAAAGGCCCTGTTCCCCCAACAGAACACAGTAACAAGACTAGCAAGGTATTAAAACCAAAAGCATAAATATTTTCTTCCAGGTGCCTGCACCCTGCATCTGCAGAAACACATAGCACACATGAAAGCCCAGGCACATGTGCAAACATATGCTCATGTATGAAGACACACACATGTAAGCTTAACATACACTTCAGGAGAGAAGTACCATACACAAATTTAGGGGGCCTATAGGGATGCTGGGGAGGGACTCTTCATTAAGGACTGTAGTGATAGGAGAAGGGGTAACGGGTTAAAACCTAAAACAGGGGAAGTTTAGATTGGATATAAAGAGGAAATTCTTTCCTGTTAGGGGTGTCAGGCACTGGAATATGTTGCCTAGGGAGGTTGTGAATGCTCCATCCTTGGCAGTGTTCAAGACCAGGTTGGACGAGGCCTTGGGTGACATGGTTTAGTGTGAGGTGTCCCTGCCCATGGCAGGGGGGTTGGAACTTGATGATCTTAAGGTCCTTTCCAACCCTAACTATTCTATGATTCTATAAATAGGTACATGTGCTGCACACACCTGCAGAAACACCGAGCACAGCGCAACAATTCTAACTTACTGTACAGAGGAAATTGCATTCATGCTCTTGTGCAGGCTTTCCAAGCAATGATGTATCATGTAACTCTTGCACCTCCCTCATTTTGTCTAAGGACAAAAGACCCTGAAAAGGATGGAATAAATTCTGCTGAGTAGGCAAAGCAACTTGAGGCCAAGATTACTGAACATACTGCAAAGGGACTCGCATCTGCAGGCTGCATGAAAAGTATACTTGTACGTGCAACAAAGGGAAAACACAGATGGGAGAGGGGAGGCAAGAAAAGCTTCAAATCCATCCAGCAGATGAAATGCAGAGTGGCACAAGTTGGATGCAGGAGCAGAAGACACAGGGAAGAATTAGGTGAGACAGCTAAGGGATACCCTCAGGGCATGCGCAAAGGAGCTGCACACTAGAAGCCAAGGAAATCTCACCATCTGGATCTGAGAGCAAGAAGAGCTGGGATGAAGAAATGGGCATGTCACAAGACACGAAGAAGAGCTTCATTTATTTAAGAGGAAAACTATGGTTGATACAGGTGTGCAGGGTAAAATAGAACATGTGATAAACGAAAGGAAGGAAGCAAGATGAATTTTGTACATGGGATAAAGGAGGTCACAAAGAGAAGCCAGAGAGAGAGCCAAAGGAAGGCTGCTGCTAAGAATACAGGTAGGAGGAAAAGCTGAGAAGCAACAGATGAGGTAAAAATTGCCAAGAGAATACGATGGGAGCATGCAAGGGGAAATGTGAGACTGCACCCCGCAAGTGCTGGGGCCACAGGTAGCATGCAAATGGCAGAGCTGACCCTGCTCCACCTCACAGGCTGCTGGAAACACCTTTGCTCCCTTTCCACCAGCACGAGCTTGCCTGTTTGCATCTGTGGGTGTGCCACCTGTGCCAACAGCAACTTTGGGCACAGCTACATCACCAAACACAATCCTCCCTTTCTCCTCTCCAGGATGTTGTGTCAATGCCTGTGTGTGCATTAATGCAAAGGTGTCTCTGTCAAGGGATGCCTGTTGGTATAGTTTTGCATTTTCAGTAGTTGAGTGTGTGAGGAAAGGACAAAAACCCCAGACTGGTGAACAGCAAGAGGCACACAGCTCCTGACAAGCCGAAGCAGAGAGGAACAATTTCTGGCCACTTCACAGGTTTTTGGCTGTAGCTCCAGAAATTGAGACTTTTTTCTTGTAGAAGAGAGGGATTAAAGAGGAATACTTGTACTAAACCAGGGCCTGAATGCTGACAGCAGTCAGATCCAAGAAGACTGCCAGAGGGGCTTTATGAAAAAGGGGGGGGGGGGGGGGGGGGGAAGGGGGGGAAATTAATGCATGCATTTTGGTGATTTATTATCTGATACTAGTCTAGATCTGCATGTCTGGGTTACATGACAATTTCTTTGGGGCAGGCACTATGCCTATTGTGTGTAGCTACACTATTGTGCATACACTATTATTGTATTTAGGGCTACACTACTATTGTGTGTAGCTAAGAACATATATGAGTCTGATCACAAGCAGCTGTAGCTGTAGAGGAGACGAGATGGGGGAATGGTTGGACTTGATGACCTTAAAGGTCTTTTCCAACCTAGCTGATTCTATGATTCTATGACAAGGTGGTGATCTCCTACCTTCCCGTCACGAAGATTATAATTTGTCCAATGCCTTTCATGATTTCCTTCAGGAGATATGTACTTACTGCCCTCCTGGTTCCACAAGTACCAACTGCTTCTTCTATTAAATGCTAAAACTGACACACATTAGATCCAACTCAGAGCACTAGCTCTAAATCCTGACTTTGCACAGAGGCTGAGTTTCTGCCTATTTTCCAACCAGATGGATTAATAACCTTGCATTATACCTGTGAGAATAGCTGTGTACAAATGTGTATTCATATGTGCTTACAGAATAGTTGGGGTTGGAAGGGACCTTAAAGACCATCCAGTTCAAACCCCCTTGCCACATACAGTGACACCTTCCACTAACCCACGTTGCGTGCATGCCTGATTCTGTACATAGGCTTGCAAAAACATGCAGATTTTGCGTGTGTGCCTGTGACTAAGAGCGGGACAATATAAATCTTCTGGGAAAGGTATTTTAGTCATCCCAGTCTGCTCAAGCTGATGAACAATGGTCTGAAGGGCAGCTCTAAGAACATCTATTAGCAACAAATCCCCGCAGCTGCAAGACACAACCTGCCGCTCAGCAGAGAGGACCTTTGCTTACTCGGCGCTGTGCGGTGATCCCTTCCAGCAGGCCGTGGGCGACAAGAGCCCAGCTTCCAAGGCAGGCAGGCGGGCGGGCAGGGCGCTGCGGCAGGCTGCAGGGGTCAGTGTTGCACACCGACTGCTGCTCGGCCGAAGAGCATCAGAGGACCGGCTGCGGCGCCGGGAGGGGGCTCACAGACGGGGGGGTGCCCCGGCCCTAACAGCTCCCGTGCCGCCGCGGCGCAGCACACCTAGCGGCCCCTGGTTTAAGCACCTCATGCACACAACTCCGACGGCCCATGCTGCCCGGTTGCCTCAACACACGTCGCTCTCCTCACAAGCCGCCCAGGGCCGCTCCCCTGAGGGGGACCGCTGCAGCGCCCACACAACGGGAGCCTACCCGAAGGGTGCCCAGCAGCACGCCGCGACTTAGGGAACACCAACGGTCCCTCGCGCGCCCTCCCACCGCCCCACGTGCCAGCAGCCCGCCCTTCCTCACTGCACCAAACATCCCTGCGCCCCCCCACGCCGTCAACGAGGGTAGCCCTGGCAGCCAATAGGAAACCTGTTGCCAGGCAGACGGCTCATTTGAATAACCCAATCAGGCGCCAAACCCATGAGTACCTCCTTATATGGGGACTGGGGGCGCTCTCGCTAGCCTTCCTCCCCACGCACCAATTGCGCGCGCGCGCCAAGCCCCGTCCCCTTTCTCTCCGAGCGCGGGAAAAGCAGCCCCGCTGCCACCCCTCTCCCCCGCCCGCCCTCCCTTCCCCCGATGGGTGCTCAGCGGAGGGCCGGGCCGCTGGGCGGGAGGGAGGAGCCCCGCCGCCGGGAGCGCTTCCAGCGGGAGGGAGAGGGCGGGGGAGCAAGTGGAGTGGAAAATTCCAGGCA